TATCTTATTTTAAAAGATATATTTACCAAAATTACACAAAGATATCTTGAAACACTAAAGAGTAGATTTATTCAATAAAAATTGTCATTATCTTCAACTACTTCGGAATCTCCTGCAACTCTTCTGGATGGTCTCCTTGATTAAGTTGGTAAATGCTGCCATAATCCTTGACTTCAGTTCATCTTTGGTGTTACAAGGAGTTTTGTTGGTCTCCCACTCAACTGCACCCAACACATAATAATCAAGGGGGTTGCAGTCTGGGGAGTTAGGTGGCCAGATGTAAGGAGGTGATGTGGTTGCAAAAATTGTCTGACAGCCATGACTGGGTTCTCCTGCTTGTGTGGCATGGTGCAGAGTCTTGTTGCCAGACATAGGGTCTTCCAGCAGCCACCCTCTTGACACAGGGCAGCACTACCACCTCAAGGCACTTGTAGTCCTCTGTGTTGAGTATGAGACCCTGTGGGAAGATGAATGGTGGCATAATGTCGCCATCACTAATGATCACTCCAAACAGCATGATGTTGATTGGATATATCGAACTCTTTCTGAATCCTCTGCAGTCCTCAGATTAACATCAAAGCACTCTGAAATGTTTGTATTGGAGCTTCTAGTGCGAATGCCAAGCAGTACAGCATACTGTTGCCAAATTTCTGGCAGAGTGAATTGTGTCATGGTGCCATTTTTCTCACAGACGGTGCCCAGCTAAGCCTATTATACTGTGCAGTCGGCAAAATAAAAAACAAACAATGCGTAGACACAAAATTAAAAATATATAATGGCGACAATTTACCCATCGCACGCAATAGATATTTCAGGCGCGATGGGTAATATATATATATATATATATCACACATATATATATATATATATATTCTAGGGTTATCTCCCTTGCACACCAGTGAGAATTGGGGAAAATGTATTTTTCACATGAAAAAAAAAAAAAAAAAAAAAATGTGGCATAATATTCAATGACATTTAGTCTCATCTTTGAAATTTTTGATGTGTAAATCCTACACAAGATAATGTTCTACTAAATAATAAAATGCCATGCTAAAAAGTGTTTGGACAAAAACTACATTACCAACAAATATCACCCAGACTAGCAAATGATCGTAGACATCCACAATGTCATAATTACAAAATCCTGTTTGTCAGTGAGGACAACCCAGAAAAGTTACTGGATTCTAAGACAAAGTTTAAAAGAAAATTATCAGTTAAAAGTAGTGATGAGACAATCGCATTAGAGAATCGGGGATATCGAAATTGGTTGGGGTCATCAGAATTGGCATTGGAATCAGAGAATCTTTAACCTAATTCCAATTCCAAAAATGATTCTTTGAATTTTTTTTTTTTTGTTTAAAACTTAATGTTCCATTTTTGGTGTTAATGGTAAACAATAGATAAATATTTATTGATTTTAAACTATCAGTAAAACTAAAATCTATAGAACCTAATAACACTTAAGCAGGATGTAAATTTATTTTACTTTATATAAAAAAAAAAAAAAAAAAAAATAAAAATGTGCAACTTTCTATTCAGTTCTTGAACTTTCCATAAAGTTAACTAGTTGAAAGTCTGTTTCAGTTCAAAATAAAATTTTTATTTTTAATATCTTTAAATCATTTTAATATCATTCATCATTGTTAATTCACCCATTCAATATTATAATTATTAAATTAATAATTTATAACAAAAATTATATAAAATAAATACAAAATGAATTCATGTTGTTCTGCTGGACTCTTTTAAGACGAGTTTTATTTCTTTTTTTAATTTATAAAAAAGGAAAAAGCATTGTTTGTATTTAAAAACCTAGAAAAAAATTTTATATTTCACATAAAATTTTATTTTAAAATCAAAATTTTCAATTATTTTTAAGTAAAAACTAAAAATAAAATTCCATATAAGGAGTTTCAATCAAACACCAAAGGATCATCTAAGGGTTGTGGGAGGCATTTATGTTTCCTTTGGTGGGAATTACATAAAATAGGGAGTTACTTTTCAATCACATTATATATTGCATTAAAAAATATAAAAAGTGATGATAATGTTTTCCAGTGATGGAATTCAAATAAAAAATTTCCCATCATTATATTATAATTTCAGAATTTTTGAACTTAAATATGAGTAGCTAGGGACTTAAGTGATTTACTTAAAGAAATTGTTCTCTTTATTGTTTAAACTCTTACCCAATATTGTAAATAATAAGGATATCTATTTCATAAGCTTTTGTATTCATTTTTCTACTAAAGTTTAATAAATGTACTTTGTTCATTAAATTTCCCAAACCAACTGTAGGACCTGAAAATAATTATTTTTAATCATTTTAGGTATCAGAATCAAAAATTTAGAACATTATTGCAAATTGTATCAATAAAAATATTGGTATCATCCCATCACTATTTAAAAGTTGAGACTGATATTCATTCTCCAAGCTCTCACTAAACATAGTTGTTGTATCTAAGAAAAAAAAAATAGAGGCTTGAGAAAGTCAGCCTTT